CCAGCTAGTGTCGGGGTTCCTGCTGGCTGGTGGGGCGAAGCGCCCTTTTGGGAGGCTTTTCTAGCCCTCGGCAGGGGTTTGGAGTTGGGGCTCACCGGGGCCAATAACTCCTCACCCCAGCAGGGCGGAGGCTGCTCCTGAGCGAAGGACTCCTGAGCCCCTCATCTGCCGAACGCTCAAAGCCGAGGTCAGTGATTTGGGGGGAAGAGAGGGGACCAGGAAAAAGTGGGTGTGCAGAAAAAAGAGGACTTGGGAGCAAGTGACCTGAAGCCTCCATCCGCAGTCCCGGCAGGGACACGCTCCTTAGGACTGCGTGAGTGTTGGGCAGGGGGTCCCCCAAACTCCTGTGCTGGAAACGGGAGCAAAGCTGCTCCTTGGGTTCCATGTACAATTCAGAAGGATGTGGGGGTGTGTGCCCGTGCAAGAATTTAATGCCCGGGTCCCTTGCGGGGCTGAGTGAGGTTTCGCCCCGTGGAAGATCGAGCGTCGCTGCAGGATGCTTCCACCCCCATGCGGGTCTCTGGACCCGGCTCTGGCCGCGGGAGAGTGGTGCCCGTTACACTCGGGGAGTCCCACGGCTCTTCCTGTGTCCAGTGACCCCGAGAACCCTCTCAGAGAAGACTCGGCGTGCTGAGAACGGGAGGATTTACTCCGCTGCCCTTCCTGGGATAAACGAGGGGCGCTCGGGCGACGCCGGCGGTCCGGGCAAGCCCCTTCCGCGCGGTCGCACGCTCTGCGCCTGCGCCGCCGTTCCCATGGCGACCGCGCTGCAGTCCGAGACGCCACCCCGCGCGCCTCCAAACCCTGCTCCCTGTGGCGCGTCCGGAGGGCCCCCTCTTCTCCTCCCTGGGACTCGCACTGTTTGTCTGTGAGGCTGAATCAGTTTATGAACCTATTTTGGCCTTAGGAGTTCAGCACTGAATCAACAATCAACTAAATCTAAAGAAAAACTTTTCCTTTCCCGCGTTATCATTTTTATTGTATCAATAAAAGGAAGAACGTCATCATTGGGGCAGTAATCGAAATTCCAGCCCTATTATCCCATTAAAGAGGATATAAATGGGAGACTGGCTGGTGGTGCGGTAGTTAAGGGCGCTGGGCTCCCACATGGCCAACCACGGTTCAAATCCTGGACCTGGTGGCTTGCTTTCTCACTCTTCTTTCTCCCTCCCTCTCTGGTCAACATTAAGAATAAATAAATAAAGTAAATAAAGAAGTAATTCTTAATTTTAAACTATGAATACAATAATTTGGAATTAAAAGAATATGAATACAACATTTGCTTTCTTTTTATGAAATAATTATTTTATTTAACTTTTATCTATTTCTTTATTTTAATTTGACCAGAGAAGAACAGAGAGAGAGAGGGAGAAAGAGAGAGTAAGCAAGCTGCCAGGTCTGGGACTTGAACTGCCATCATCTATGTGAGAGTCCAGAACCCTTAACCACCATGCTACCTGCTGGATGGAAACATTTACTTACTTTTTTTAAAAGAATTATTTTTTAAAAAATAATTATTTAATTTTATTCATTCATTCATTCATTTTAATTTGACAGGAGTGAGAGAGAGAGAGAGAAAGCAAGAAAGCAAGTCACCAGGTCTGGGACTTGAACTGTGGTCGATCATGTGGGAGTGTCTAGCGCCTTAACCATCACCCCACCTGCTGGCTCCCTTAAGAATGATTTTATTTAACTTTATTTATTTTAATTTGATGGGGGGGGGGGTTGGGGGGCATGGAGCAAGTGAAAGAGCAAGCCACCAGGTCCGGGGCTGGAACCACTGTGGGCCATGTGGGAGTCCAGTGGCCTTAACCACCACACCATCTGCCAGCCCCAACATTTACCTTCTAATGAATTTTTAAAACATTCAGTGAGGTGATTCCTCTTGAACGTTGGGGAGACAGACGTATACTCCGCTGCCCAGGTGGAGAGCCACATTTGTACAACCCAGCACACTTGTGTCCTCTTAAGGGTATGACAACAACTTGCTCTCTGCACCAAAACCGAGCTAAGCAAAACACCAATAAAGAGAAACAAAGGTATACCCAGAAAAAGGTTGTTTTTCCAGTTGCTCCTGAGCTTTGGTCACTGTTGGGGTTAATATCTTCTGCAGGGAATGTTTCAAGAAACCTTAACACAAACCAGTTTTCTCAAGCCGTCTGTTGGGAGTCATTTTCATTTTTTTAAAATTGTTGTGACAGCCCCATCCTGTGTTTTAAATCCCATTTGTTTACGCGCAGGGTAGCATTTGGCAAAGGTACACATCTAGAAGAGTATGTAGAAGGAACTGTAACTTCTTGTTGCTTATTTTTCTTAGACTGCATCAATATTTGGCAGCATGATTGGTACCTATATATGCTATTAAATAAGCATTCATTAGAATTAACATAACTGCTAATAAAACTTTAAATGGAATTACTCTTCCTGGGAGAGTATGGGGTAAAATACCTTGGATAAAGTAGCGTATTAGTACTTCTTACTCCCCTACTTTGGGATGGTTTGCTTTCAAGAATAGCAAGTTTTTATTAGTGGTAGAAGTTTTTAGATCATGTCTTTCCACTATCAGCAAATAAATAAACATTTTCATTTTCAAATGATTAGCAAATAGTGGACTGCTAGTTATCTTTCCCATTTCACTGGCTATGCATACCTATTCATTGTGCAATCCATCTAGCACAATTTAAAAAACAAGTGCAATTGAATTTTCTTTTCCCATAATTAAAAAAATAGAAAAACTCTTAATTCTCAGGTTCAGATACTGTGTGACCCTATTAGGTGATTTGAAACTGGCTTCAGTTTCCTAGTTCTCAGTGACATGTGTTTCTGCTGCTTCCAGGAGGTAAACTGCAGTTTTAGCAGATCGTGGGCTAATGAGATTGCTTGGGGGAGGCTGGGAAGTGCAACAAGAATACGACAAAGGGAGAGAAGTTTGGTGGCAGAGCCAGGATTTATAGCTGCACCAGAGTCACAGTAAAATCTGTTCAAGTCATTGCTTTTGTTTGATACGTTTTCCCATGCCATCAACTTCAGTTAAATTTATTTTAAAAATGAATCTTCTAAATAATTATAGGGGTAGCATTATAAAAATAGACTCTCATAAAGGTAGTTCCTGTCAGCTGTCATGTAAAATACTGTGAAAATTCTAATTGAAGTGTTTCTATTACATTTTTTCATTTAAGCAACAAATATTTACCAACAACTTCTGTATGGAACACTAGATAAATAAATCCAGATTCCTGCCTTCAATGAGCCAAGAGTTGTAAATTCTGATATATAATCCTAATGTTACTAAAAGTTTTCAGGGTGAGTAACTTGGTAACTCTTAAAACAGACTTCTTGACTCAGAAAAAAAAGAACATAGTTTTGAGCAATTTAGATAAGGGCTTAAATACACAGTGGGAAGCTTTGTGTGCATCTATCTACTTACATTTTTGTAGCATAGACTTAACTCTAAAACTTATAGTCTTGGCAACGGTAGCACTGAGTTTTGGAAGAAACGTAGAAACTGTAATTCTCAGGTTTCTTGGACCAAGAT